ATGAACAGTCCAATCAAAGTTTCCAGCTAAGATGATATTAACCACTCTTACACAAATGTAAGAGTGTCCACACAAGGGGACCAATTTAATTAAATAGATTTAGAAAGAAATTTAGTTAAACAAGTGGAATTTGTGTGTATAGACCAACTCTTGCACACAGGTTTTACTTTACACATGCCTTGTGTGGAACGGACCAAAGCAGCAGATCAGGGCCTTATATAAGTTTCCAAACATTAACTAGTCTTTACAATATCCTTATGAAATAGGTGTTGTTATTTCTACTTTACATATGGAAAAATTGAGATAGATAGGTTAAGGTCCCAATCCTGCAGACACTTAACATATGTGCTTAACTTTATAATGTAACTAATCTTATTAACTTAAGTTCAGCACACACAGGCTGGATAGGGGCCCAAGTGACTTACTCAAGTCCACATAGCAAGTTACAGACAAAGCCAGGTTTAAAACCAAGTACCTCTTGGGTCCCACTTCTCATCTTCAACCACCAGACCAGATTAACTCTCTGTGCAATATAAAATGCCATCTAAATTGAGTATGTAAACAGGATTAAAAATATTTTTATAACAAAAATGAAATGCAAGAAATCAAGTAATACATGGTCACTTCGCATGTAGAAAATACTGATGACTTTGCTATACTGGTGATTAAGAACCAAACCGAATCAGTACTCACAACCGATCTAGTGAAATTAGAGGAAACCATAAGGAAAGCTTCTAAAGTTAAAATATAAATTGTTAATCAAAAAAAATCAACAGCATAATTATATAGTCTGTCTTATATCTTAGATAAATCTTTGAACAACCTAACTATAGCCAATTGCTCAGCTATTGTCCTAAAAAGACCATAAAATTCACCTGAGTATTGATAAAAAGAACAGGAGTACTTGTGGCACCTTAAAGACTAACAAATTTATTTGAGCATAAGCTTTCGTGGGCTACAGCCCACTTCATCGGATGCATGTAGTGGAAAATACAGTAGGAAGATAGATAGATATATACACAGAGAACATGAAACAATGGGTGTTACCATACACACTACAAGGAGAATGATCAGTTATCAGTATTGATAGTTACCTTTTACTGGTAACTTTCTGTATTATTTGCTTTATACTACAATGAACTTTGCACTGTTCTGACTTTTGCTCTCTCCAGACAGTAGCCTATTAGCACAGGTATGTTTAAATGAGTTATTTCCAAATAACTATAGACTTGTTTCTTTGCCAGGGGATTTTAATTGTTTTAATTAGGGAGAACTGTATCTTATTAGCTATATGTTCTGGAGATGGGGAGTTAGTACAGGCAGACCATGGGCGCAAATGATGCAGATCCATATTAAGACAAGCCTGAAATTGGACCTATGTAGAAGCCTCATCATTTCTGAATCAAATCCCGTTTGCATACTGCATAACCATCTTCAGAAAAATAAAAGTCACAGAAAGGCAGTAAGGTCAAGCCCTGAATCTGCCATTATATCATTCCTCCTGAAGATTCCCTGGCAGTTATACAGAACTTGTACTGTACTGCTTTTATGCAACATTGCTCAGACTTGAAATTCCTGTTAGTTGGGTGCTCCCGAACAGGTGCTCACTGAGAAGGAGTGCCACCGCTGAGGTGCCAAAACCCAGGAAATCCGGGAGAAGACTGAGCCGCATGATCCTGGCGTTGTGAGCCCAGAAAACTGAACAGCCGGCAGGGCAGTGCCTATTGGGCACCCTTACCGATTTCCCCAGGCAATTATAGTAGCTACCTCAAAATTGGGTGAACAGATGTCCCGATTTTATAGGGACAGTCCTGGTTTTGGAGCCTTTTTCTTACATAGGCTCCTATTACCCCCCACCCACTGTCCCGATTTTTCACACTTGCTGTCTGGTTACCCTACATTTGGGTAAACCCCCACATTTCCCTTCTGGGCACCCAGACTGCACTCCTAGCCTCTAGGGCAGTGGTTCCCAAAGTGGGGTTCGCAGAACGTTTCAGGGGGTTCGCAAGAAAAATTTCATTAATGGCGGCCAGAGGACTCTGCTGGGACCCGTTGCAGGGCAGACAGCCCGAACCCCAGGGAGAGCGGGGCCGGGCAGTTTGAGCGGGCAGCCCGAGCCCTCTCCTATCAGCCAGAGAGCTGGCAGCCCGAGCCTTGGGGAGAGCGGGCAGTTTGAGTTGGCAGCCCCAGCCCTCCCATGTCAGCGGGGGAGCCGGCAGCCCGAGCCTCGGGGTAGAGCGGGCAGTTTGAGCCAGCAGCCCGAGCCCTCCTGTCAGCCAGGGAGCCAGCAGCCCGAGCCTCGTGGAGAGCAGGGCTGGGCAGTTTGAGCCGGCAGCCCCAGCCCTCCCCTGTCAGCGGGGGAGCCAGCAGCCCCGAACCCCAGCACTCCATGCGGGGTGCAGGTGGCAGCTCGGATCCCTGTCCTTGTCAGGCAGGGAAAGTTTGCATCCAGGGCAGTCAGCAGGGGGCCACGCTGAACATGGGGGGGTGGTCCAAGCTAATTTGTCCCTCCCAGGGCACCTTCCTTGGCGGAAGAAAAGCTGTTTGCGAGCCAAACCAGCCAGAAGCACGTTGTAGCCAGTGTAGGAGTGTTAAGGTGTCTCAGTAATTGTCCTTCTCTCTGGAGTGCTGATTTGCTTCAGTGAGTGAATCTTCTCAGTTTCTAGTTTGTTGGTTGTTAGCAGTCTCTCTCTGTTATTTTTATTAGAACTTTTGTACACAAGTTCAATGGATAAGGGGCTGAAAAAGAAAAGTGTAAAGACGCTGGAATCAGCTAGTGTTTCCTCAAGTCCACACTGTGGAAAATCTAAGTCTAATGATCATGATGGTCCTGGAAAGTCACTTACAAAGAAAAGAAAAGATGACGCTGATTATATAAAATATGGCTTTACATGCATTGGTGATCAAGAACATCCAAAACCACTGTGTGTGATTTGTGGTGATGTTCTAGCAAACAGCAGCCTCAAACCTTCTCTACTTCGGCACCATTTAGAAACTAGGCATCCTGCACAACTCGACAAGCCTGTTGAGTTTTTCAAGCAAAAATTAGCTGAGAAGAAAAGTGACATTACCAGTTTTATATCCGAAGCAAGTACTGATAATGAAAATGCACTTAAAGCGTCATACCGCGTGAGCTACCGAGTAGCAAAAGCATCGGAAGCCCATACCATAGCAGAGAGCTTGATTGGTCCATGTATAAAAGATGTAGTTCATTGCATGCTCGGAGAAAAGGCTGCAAAAAGGATTGACATGGTACCTTTGTCCAATAATACGTTGTCACGAAGAATTAATGACATGTCAAATAATGTAGAGACCACTATTGTACATAGAGTGAAAAATAGTCCATATTATGCTATACAGTTGGATGAATCAACTGATGTAGTTAATCTAGCTATTTTGCTACTGTTTGTACGTTATGTGAATGAAGGTATGGTTGAAGAAGGCTTGTTGTTTTGCCGACCATTGGAAGAACGTACAACTAGAGAAGATAACGTCAATCTGACTAAAGCATATTTTCAAGAAAAGGAAATAGATTGGTCTCGTTGCCTAGGCATTTGCACTGATGGGACCACATCAATGACGGGGAAGTATTCTGGATTTGTAGCTCAAACAAAAAAGGTTGCATCAGAAGTCTCTTGGACTCATTGCAGCATCCATAGACAAGCCCTTGCAACAAAACGCATGCCAGAGGGACTGAAGGAAGTGCTGGACAATGTAGTGAAAATGGTGAATTTCATAAAATCATGGCCAACAAATTCCAGAATATTTCACATACTTTGTGAAGAAATGGGTCGTATACACGTCTGTGTGTTGACCCATACTGAAGTTAGATGGCTCTCAAGGGGTAAAATCCTTGTGTGCTTGTTTGAGGTTAGAACGGAAATCCTAGTTTTTTTTCAAAAGCCACCCTTTCCACCTTGCCAGCTGTATGGAAAATAATTTCTGGCTCCAGAGCCTAGCTTATTTAGCAGATATTTTCTCAAGAATTAATGACCTAAATTTATCTCTTCAAGGCCTCAATATAAGTTTTCAATGTGCAAGAGCGAGTTGAATCCCTGATAAAGAAGCTGCAGTTCTGGGGAAGTTGTTTGGAAAACAATCAAATCAGTAATCTTCATGACTTCCTGGTAGAACATAAACTGCAGTTGGATCAGTGCACTAAAACCAATATAATTGCACACCTAAAAGGACTTTGCACAACTTTCAGGGAATACTTTCCACCTATGTCAGGCGATAATGACTGAATTCGCAACCCTTTTGATGATACCACTTTCTCAGCACAGATATTAAACACCAAGGAAAAAGAGAAATTGATTGAGATCTCCTGTGATTACGAACTGAAAAGGAGTTTCAGAAATCTATCATTGATCAACTTTTGGCTGAGTTTAAGAAACGAGTACCCCTTTCTGGCAGAAAAAGCTGCTGCAGTTTTGTTACCATTTTCAACAACATACTTATGCGAGAAAGCATTTTCCTCATATGCACATCTGAAAACCAAACACAGAAACAGACTTGATGCCGAACCAGACCTGAGACTTTATCTTTCGCCAGTGGTTCCAGACTTCCAAGAGCTATGCAGAGCAAAGCAAGCGAATCCATCACACTGAGGAAATTTAAACTTAAATCCCTGGAAATATTCATTTTTAGGAGGGGGTTCATGAGATGTCACAATTTAGTGAAAGGGGTTCGCGGGCTGTTAAAGTTTGGGAACCACTGCTCTAGGGCCCTCGCTCCTTCAGTGCACAGCTGGGGAAATGGGCAGATCAGCAGACAGCTTGGACTTTCACGGGTACAGCGGTCCGAGAGCAAGAAGGGAGCAAGACCCCCCCCGGGTTGAGCAGCGGGCTGTGTCACTGCTCCCCCCGGGTCTTGCCTGAGCACCCGCCAGGATTGGCCACGCGCCCTCTGCCTCTGAACGGGCCGCGCGCTCAGCAGGGTCCGGGTGTCACGTCATCGCTCCCCCACCCCACCCGCCGAGAGCCGCCCGCGCGCCTCCGCACCCGGAAGCACTTTCCCTCACACGTCAGCAGCCGGCGTGTGACAGCCGGCGGCGGTTTGGCGGCCTGGAGCTCTCTCCCGGCCCCGCTCCCTGGTCCCCCTCTCCCCCCTCCCCGTGCGGTGCATGTTCTCTCGCTGCCTGCTGGTGCTCGCGGCTCGCCTCAGCCCTCGCGCGCGCTGCCTCCGAACCGCCGCCGCTCCTCGCCGCTGCCGCCTCCTCATGAAGCCGCTGGTTGTGTTCGTCCTGGGCGGGCCCGGGGCTGGTAAGGGGACCCAGTGCGCCCGCATCGTGGAGGTGAGAAGCGCAGCGGGGAGGGTCTCAGCGTCCGCAGGGAACCCCCGCTCCAGTGCCGCCGCCTCCTCCTCGGAGAGCGAGCGGACTACACCTCCCAGCATGCAACGCGGCGAGGGGCTCTTGGCATCTTCCCTGCGAAGCGAAGCGGGGCATGGCGGGACGGGTAGTCTTGTGGCTCAGCCTGCGCGGGGTCTCGTTTGCGTGGCCCTGCAGGGTTGAGCGGGGGCTTGGACATGGGGACCCCAGGGGTGGGGGTGGGGAGCGGCCCGTTATAATTGTCTCCCTGCGGTTCGGTTTCCGTTTTTAGGGGGTTAGGGAAGTTCTAGCTCTCAGTCTTGGTTAAAGGGGCAAAAGGCTGTTTTGGGTGCATTTTAAAAGAAACCCCCTCTTGTTTCTCCAAGTGCACGTTGGAGCCCCCACATTTCCCTTCTGGGCACCCAAACTGCACTCCCAGCCTCAGGGGCCCTCGCTCCTTCAGTGCAAAGCTGGGGAAATGGACATCTCTGCAAGGGGGGGGGGTGTGGTAGAGGCACAGACGCCCATACTAGACAAGTATCAGAGGGGTAGCCGTGTTAGTCTGAATCTGTAAAAAGCAGCAGAGGGTCCTGTGGCACCTTTGAGACTAACAGAAGTATTGGGAGCATGAGCTTTCGTGGGTAAGAACCTCACTTCTTCAGATGCAAGAAGTGTTGCATCTGAAGAAGTGAGGTTCTTACCCACGAAAGCTTATGCTCCCAATACTTCTGTTAGTCTCAAAGGTGCCACAGGACATACTAGACAAGTCACACACTCTTGTGTTTATAGGCCAAGTTCTGTCTGCATGTTATCCACAGTATGCTGGGTAGAGGTAAGATTGGGGGTGCGGGTGGTATTGTGCGGGAAGATGTTCATGATTAACATCAATCACAGACCTAGTTAGAGCTGATGGGTGTGCTTGCCAGAGTCTAGGGACCTGTGTGTCCCATTTCCCCTTACCTTTCTGCCAGGGCCTCTGGATACATTTACACTGCTAAACCCGCAGCATCAACTCTGAGCCTGGGTCAGTTGAGGCCTGGTCTACACTAGAAAATTAGGTCAGTATAACTACATGGCTCAAGGGTGTGAAAAATCCACACCCCTGAGTGATGCAATTAAACCAACCTCTCATCCCCCAGGCATAGACAGTGCTAAGTCAGTGGGAGAATTCTCCTGTTTCCCTAGCTACTGCCTTTCAGGGAGGTGGAGTACCTACTTCAATGGGAGAACCCCTCCCACTGGAGTAGGTGTCTTCACTGAAACACTACAGTGGTGTAGCTGCACTGCTGCAATTTTTTCAGTGTAGACAAGGCCTGACTTGAATTGCAGGGTTAAAATTGCAGTGTGTAGACATTTGGACCCAGGCTCTGTTTGTAGTTCCTGGAAAAGTTGTTGGTAACCCTCCCTCGTGGAGTGGAACACAATCATACATAAACCATTAATAAATTTAAGAGAATGTCCTGCAAAGATACTGCGGGGAGTTTGCAATAGAAGGTACAATGGGTTTATTATTCCAGAGGTATATGGTGCTTTCATCATCATCATGTTCCTATTATGCCTCTAGTGCTTAGGGCAGTGATGAAGCTCATCCACTCCTGATGAAGCTCATCCACTCCTGTCTGTTTCTAGCAAGTCTTTCAATGGTTCCACAGCTTCCACAGCTCTTCGCCATGTTGTTTTCGGGCAGCCTCATTTTCGCTTGCCTTCAAGTGTCCATCTTATTGCTACTCTGGTGAGGGAATCAGTTTCCATCCGAAGCACATGACCGATCCATCTCCAACGTCTCCTAGCAATGACGGTGCTCAGATCCTCTTGGCTGCACTGTGTCAATAGATCTTGGTTTGAGATTATCAGAGTTGCGTACTTTCAACACTACTTTATAGTGCAGAATACTGGGGAATGAGAAAGTATGAGAAGTCCAAACTGTCTTCATTCCATACAACCTGCCTTAGAAAAATCCTCTGTATCTTTTGGCCCAGAACAATCTTAAACCAAAAATGATGCTTTACAGTAGTTTAAATACACAAATTGACAGCCAAAGATCCAGGTCCAAGTTCCAAAGAGTTTATGATCTAAACATACAACCAGTACAACAAGGGAGTTGATAATTCCGAGGGCAGATAATTTCCTCTGTGCCACTGTAAATTGTGAAAATAAAATTATATTATAAGCAACAATAGAAGTGAAATTTTGCTATGCGGCTGAATGTGATGGGGGTCACAAGTTATGCAGAGTGAATCTTTATGTGCTTTATGTGTGTCCTGTGTTAAATTAATCCTTGTCTTTTCTGCCATCAAAGATTTTCAAACTGGCATTAAGAGATTACATGATTTAATTATAGAATTTCACACAACTTTTCTAAATATTTAGAATTTATTTTAGTTTAACAGTACTTGAAGGTGGGAAAAAATGTTTAGAAGAGTGGGGGGAATAGCTGATGATTAATAGCTGACAATTATTTACATACAGAAGCAGACCTCTTTAAAAATCAGGATGATGAAATTCTGTTCTGTTGGATAGTTATGGTATATTTAAGGTTAAATGCCTCCAAATAGAGCCTTTTAAAATGGAGTAGACGTGGATATTTTATGCATGATGAGTGCCATAAATGATGGAGGTTTGTCCACACCCACATGAAAGCAATGACTAAGAACCATAACAACGCCCATATTGCTTAAACTACAGAAGGAAAAACCGCAAATCCTGGCACTAGCATTTGTTTGTTTTCTAGTGATGCGTGGTAGAGTACCGTTCTAGTTTCTCCACTGTTCCATTATACCCTAGTTCTCCATACTGTATAACTTGGTTATCAAAATTTGGTCCAGACTGAAAACTGACATTTAAGATTTTATAAAGTGTTGTTGTAGCTGTGTTGGTCTCGGGATATGAGAGAGAGAGAGAGAAAAGGATACTGTCTCTCTAATTTAAGCTTTTAGCCACAAAAGGGTTTTCACCATAAGTTATGAATCTAACTCAAACAGGTTTTTTAAAAAAAATTAAGTTGTGGGATGTAAGGCTCGTAACTTTCAAAAAGCCTTTTTGTTACTTTGGGTCAAATCCTGTCCTTGGTACACAACAAACAAATAAGCGTCGACCATAGGGAAGTTTTGTAGAGCTGGAGGGAATATAATTACAAGCCATTAATGCAGCCTCAGGGCTGAAGTAGCTTATGTGGCTGCTGCCCCATACCTAGAAATATAAATCATTTTGGTTTGGTATCCTAAAGTAATTGGATAAAGACCACTTGAGGAGGAGGGAGTCAAATGAGTCATTGCTGCCTGAATTGTATCCACTACCAGAAAAGTATTACATGTTAACTTTGCTAGTAATAAATCTAGGAAGGGGAAATTCTTAGGAGTAAGCAGAGATGAAAGTAAGCGGTACGGGCCCGTACGGCGTACCGGTAAGAAAGTGGTCATCGGTGCAGGCTGGTACACAGCCGATGTTAAAGCGTTGCCGCGGCAGCGCTTTAAGGACCGTGCCGGCAGGACTGCTGACGGGGGTGGGGGGCAAAAGGGGCAGCTGCTCCGTGGCCTTTTAAATCGCCGCCGGAGCCCTGGGCGGCGCGGGCCAGGCAGTGCTGAAGGGCTGGCTAGGGGAGTCTGGCCCTAGCCCTGCCCCTTCTGCCCGAGGCCCCGCCCCTTCCAGGGGCCCAGAGCTGCCACCCCCCCCTTGCCCAGGAGCCCGGCCGCCCTTTGTACAGATAAGTAATTTAAGTTACTTTCACACCCTGGGAGTAAGAGACATAGCAAATAGAACTAAGGCTATGTCTACACTGTCAATTGAATGACAAAAAACTTCTACCTCCAACGAGCAGGGTTACGCTTTATTGGCAGGAGAGCCTAACTTTTGTTTTTCAGAGGTGTTAAAAAACACACATACACACACGAAAGACAAAAGTTTTGCCGACAACATCTCCTTTCTTGGCTTCTGGGAGAGAAAATAAATCTCTTTAGCTCCAGTTCATTTTCTAAATACTTGCCTTGCATGACACAAGAGAGAGCACTCCTCTGAGAGCCATAAAGAGATAGCTTCAACTCAACAGGCAGTAACCTGTTGAGTATCACTTCTCAGCAGTCTTCCATTTAAAGACTGGAAGTCAAGACTCTGCCACATTTATTTACCAGATTTAAAACTGTTTCCTTTGGATTTTGATCTCATCAAAGTCAACGAATGGATGTTTTGCCATTGAGTTACTATCATTTATTATTTGCATTACCATAGCATCTACGTGCCTCAATCATTGATCAAGATCCCATGGATGTGCTAGGTGCTGTACAAATAGAACAACAAGATGGTCCCTACTCCAAATAGATTACAATCTAAGTATAAGACAATAGACAACAGATGGAAACAGGGAGATACAATGAAACAACGAGATAGTACTGGTCATCATCGTAGGCAGTGGTGTCAGCAGACATAAGTTTTCCATAGACATCTCAGTGAAGGAGTTAGAAGAAGGATAATGAGGTAGCCTTATGGACGTTTACAGGGAGCTCCTCCCAAGCATGAGAGGCAGCATGGGAGAAAGCTGGAAGGTGTTTGAAAATTTAACAAGTTCTGGAGGAGCAGCCCAACTAATCCATTCTGAAAAGCATTCCAGATTAGAATTTAATGTAATTGGAAACATCCCTATTTAACAAGCTCACTTTAAAGTACTTCTGTCTTGTTCTTTCCTGTTCAGCTATTTAAAACTATTTTAGTTTGCTGTTGTAAAGAGAATTCCAAAGATTGAGTCGATATTTCTACTTGCATGAAAAGAAAAAATGCGGAGGAAAATTAAATGGTGCTGTAATCCCATGAAACCAAGGGGATTATTTTTTTTCTTCTTCTTTTCTCCTTAATGTTTAACTTAATGTTAAAAATATCATAATTCTTTAATTGTAGCAAGAAGAGCTACATGTTAATTTTGGTTCTGGACAGTAAAACTTCTTGTTTATAAAAAGCTTTACTCTGGTTTATGGCTTCTGCAGTTCATAGTTAAT